CAATTAACTGCTCATATCGTTAGTTAATCAGCTGATATTTGTAACAATGGTTGATTTATCATAACATGCTGGATAATTTATTGGATGGGAGGCCCATGAGCGGTTGCGTGCGTGGGCCGGTCCAGGCCATGCAAGCCCCAGTGCATGTGAAGGACGCAGGTAGCAATGGAAACATACCCTGACTTAATATGATCTATTAAACATTGTTTTTTCACATAACATGGGCTGGTTGAGTTGGCTATCCGGTCAAGTTGTGCTCTTTTTCTGCCAACCTGAGTTTGAGTCCGTGCGGCAAGCACGAACCGTTCATTTATTTTTTTGACGAACCGTTCTTTTACTGCGGGTAGATTGTACTAATAGTTGTTCCATTCCATTCCACATTTCTCCCTGTTCCTTCCGTATTTCTCTTTCCAGTCGCACCAGAATTCACTCTCACCATTTATTCTGTAGAGAGGCCAGGTTCCATTCCTTATTTCTCTTTCACATGGCTAATTGATGATTGACCACCGGATTTATTCACCACTGGTTTATTCTGTCGATAGGCAAGAAACCTTCCTTCGTTATTTCTGGAATTCATTCCTCACCCTTTGCTAATTGATTCCGGAAACAACTTCCTGTTACCCACAAAACTTAAAGGCATATATAAATTGGAAAGATTCGATGCAAGGGGCCAAGGTGGGACTAATTTTTTGTTGATTTATCATAACACGTTGGCTGATTTATCAGATAGAAGGCCCATGAGCGGTTGCGTGCGTGGGCTGGTCCAGGCCATGCAAGCCTCCGTGCGTGTGATGGCTGTAGGAAGAAATGGAAATATAGCCCGGCTTAATATGATCTACTCCCTCTGTCCCATAATATAAAACGTTTTTTTGACACAAACGTCTTACATTATGGGATTCAATCATCAATTAAGCATTGTTTTTTTCACGTAGCATTGGCTGGTTGAGTTGGCTAATCGGCCAAGTTGTGCTCTTTTCCTGCCAACCCGAGTTCGAGTTCATGCGGAGGCACAAACTGTTCTTTTATGTTTTTGACGAACCATTTTTTTTTACTGCGGGTCGATTGTACAAAAAGTCGTTCCATTCCATTCCATATTTCTCTTTCCAATAGCACTGGAATTCACTCTCGCCACTAATTTATTTTGTGGAGAGGCCAGTTTCCATTCCTTATTTCTCTTTCACATGGATAATTGATGATTGAACACCAGATTTATTCTGTGGATAGGCAAGAAACGTTCCTTCCTTATTTCTGGAATCATTCCTCACCCTTCCCTAATTAATTCCGGAGAGAGCTTCCTGTTTCCCACAAAACTTAAAGGCCTATATAAATTGTAAAGTATTCAATGCAAGGGGCCAAGGTGGGACTAACTTTGTGTTGATTTATCATAACATGCTAGTTGATTTATCGGATGGAAGGCCCATGAGCGGCTGCGTGCGTGGGCCGGTCCAGGCCATGCAAGCCCCCGTGCGTGTGAAGGACGCATGAAGCAATGGAAACATAGTCCGGCTTAATATAATCTATTAAACATTGTTTTTTTCACGTAACATGGGCTGCTTGAGTTGGCTAATCGGTCAAGTTGTGCTCCTTTTCTGCCAACCAGAGTTCGAGTCCGTGGGCAGGCATGAACCGTTCATTTTTTTTGCCGAACCGTTTTTTACTGCGGGTAGATTGTACTAAAAGTCAAGGGTGTTACTGTAAAATGTCGCGACGGACCAAGAATACCTATTCCTTTTATTAGTAGAAAATAAATATATATAGATAAAGAATGTAATAACATCTTATATTATGGAATGGAGGGAGTACTTAGTATGACCACACATAATCATGACTTTATACTTCCTCTGTTCACTTTTATAAGACGTTCTAGACAATTCAGACAGTGCCCAAAACAGTTCAAAGCTAGCTGTCCAAAACGTCTTATAATAATGAACGGAGGGAGTAGTTAATGTTTAAACTAAAATGACAAAACTGCTAAATCCACACTTTCAGCTTGGAGCATGATGGATTGATGGCAAATGTATATTCAACAAAAAAAACCCCTTTCCAACTTGCAGCATGCGAAATGGTTGCTATTCAAGATCACAAATTAGGGTATTGTAACACATGTCAAATGATAATCAAGCTTTTGAGCTTACCAATGCAGTAGTCAAGTTCAGTTCTGTTTATAGAAACATACCGGACTTGCTTTCCTAAACTGCCATCTCTCGGTTGTTCCTTTTTTTCTCTATGAACAAGCAACTTACTTAGTGAACCATTTAATTTCAGCATGTGTTGTATTTTTAGTGATATGTGGTAGACTGCACGCTAATATAGGCTCCCTGTATTCTGGAAATGTTAGGACAGCTTAATCCGGATTCTGAAGCAATGAGTACCTGTAAAAAGGCCAGGGCGGAATCTACATCTGTTGTGAGTTCAGACAGACTGAGTAGTCTACCTCCAGAGATAAAGGGCGACATCCTCTCCCGTCTGAATGTCGAAGAAGCGGTTAGGACTAGCACCTTATCAAGTACTTGGAGGGATGCATGGACTAATATGCCAAAAATATTTCTGCGCAATGGAAATTTTGCAAGAACCAAGTTCGTCACATTAGTCGATATGGTGCTATCACTCCACAAGGGAACTGTAGAGAAGTTTGATATTTCAGGTAGCAAACCTTACCATGACGAGTTCGGCAGGTGGATGCTCATGCTTTCTAGGATATAACCAAGATCAATTATAGTCGAGATGAAATCAGGGCCAGGTTATAGGATTCCCTCATGTCTATTTTCTATCGGTGATTTGGAGAATCTGCACCTGCAAAACTGCATCATCAGCTTGCCCCGGGTATTCCAAGGTTTCAAGAGATTAACTCGCCTCAGACTGAACAATTTCTCATCTACAGACATGGACATGCAAAATTTGGTCTCGTTCTGCCCCGCACTGCGTTCTTTGAGACTAACTTATTTTGAGGGCATTAACCATCTAACCGTTCAAGCTCCTAAACTGAAACTTCTTTATGTCATTGGGGACGTTGAAATTAATTTGGATGCACCTGATTTGGAGGTGGCTCTCTTAATGCATCACAAAGCTACAGCACCTCATTCTGATCCAATTGCGCTTCACAAGGAAAGCTATGTCAAGCAGTTATTGGGAAGCCTAAGTGACATCAAAAGCTTTGCAATTAGCGGCTTTTTGCTGAGGGTAAGCTATTATTAGCTCCAGCATTACTGTGGCCTTCTTTTGTCTCCTGACTAATCTGTATTGACATTTCCTTATTCATTTTCTGTTCATGTTGTAGTATTTATCAAAAGGTTGCATGCTTACGAAGCTCCCAGGCCTGTTTGCTCGCCTGGAGAATATTTATCTTGCGATATGCTTTTTGGACCGGCGGCAATTCTTGGCCGCTTGTTCGTTGTTTTAGAATGCCCCTAACTTAAAGACGCTTGATGTCGTTCCAGTAAATCCTCTCCCTTCCTCAGTCATCCAATCCATGTTCATTCTTGTATTTATGGCACCTAATTAATGAGTTGTGAAAAAAAATGCAGAGTCACTCTTCGAACACATGGGACCAAGATCAGGCGAGGATTAAAGACTTCACCGTGCAAGTGCAATTGGATCATCTCGTAACGGCCAGTGTGCAAGGTTTCAGGGGTCTGGCCTGCGAAGTCGATTTCGTGGCAAAGCTATTGAGCTGGGCACCAGCTCTGGAAGAACTGAAGATAGAGTGGAAGGGCAAAACAGAGTGCAGCATGGTTCTTGCCAAGCTATTAGCTCTGCCGAGGGTGTCTCCCAGGGCCAAGGTCATTGTGACATTTTGATAAGAATGCATCCCTACAGTCTAGAGAGCATCCCCCATCACTTTGCCGGTTTAATTTGCAGCCAAGCAGGACTATTTCAGCTTTCTTTATGCCAAGACCAGATGGTGGTTATATATGTGTGCATTTGAGGCAAATCATCAGGCAGAGGGAGTACCTAATGTGCTATTAGCAAGTGTTATCCTTTGTTGAGCCGGGGACACAAGCCGCTGTTGCCCTTCCTCAACCGTGTCAGTTCAGCTCGTCCCGTCTTATCCTGTTGTTCCGTGTGTCGTAAATTCCTGTTTCTAGAAAATATAAGAAGTAATGAAATATATAATGACACCTTCATCCTGTATGAATAAGAATGAAGATGTGAATCAAAGGCATGAAACTGTACCTTCTGTGTATGTTTGGAAAGCAAAGCATTTATCAGATTGGTTCCAGATTGGAACGAGTGTTCAATGTTTCTTGCATCTCCTATTTCATTTTTTGTTGATAAAGTGAAATATTTCTATATCACTGTCGCCTTTAATATTCAGTTATTGTGTGCTTCAGAATTATTCACTGGTTTTCAGGTATTAATCAAAGCTCGCTCTTGGAAAGCCTGGATTACATTTCTATATATTTATGAGTATATAAATGAAACACAGATATGGCCATTTACTTTCAGATCTATAGAAACGTAGTACAAATATGAGCACCCTTGAAGGACTGAACGAGTTTCAATCGAGGCTCCAGAGGGAAAATTCGTAAGTTGCTGTCTTGTGTTATTAAAAGTAAATACCGTATCCAAACAAACCAAACCCTAGGACGAGTTATTACAGAAGATATACCATTTTCTCATAACCATAACTTGTGTTATTTAGTTATACGTCGTATAGAGATACATAATCAAACCAGAACAATAGAAAGAAAGAACACATGGTTCAAACCACTAGCTCGGGTGGAAAGACCCATGTCAACGCATATATATCGTAGACCTGCTCCGGGATCTTGAGTTGAGCACCGTCGAAAACAATATCACCCTCTTTTATCTCCTCTCAACAAGCCGAAACAGACTTGGAGAAGAGTTTGCTATGAAAATCGCATGGCCATCTTGACCACCCGTCATCGGCACTCACATGCTTGTGCTGGCATCTGCCTTAATACATTGACCCCTACAGATATAGCTATAACCTCGTGAACACTATTGCAGCACTAGTTGCCGACTCACCATGAGCAATTTTCCACACAATTCAACATCGTACCTAAGGACGCAGAGATGAGCATCGCCTTCTTCCTCATATATATACTCAATGACCTCCTTAATCTTGTCATGCCCTTCTTTAACGCATGATTATCATGAGACTCTTCACTCTCTTGTTTAAGAACCATGTCAGCGTTCTCGTTCTCGTCCACATTCTCATCACTAGTTGCCTCATCTTCGCCGTCGTTGTTCAACAACATTGGAATCATCATTAGCTGCATCATCTTCCTTGTCATCGCTTCACACTACTAAATCATCATCAGCCGCCTCATGATCTTCGTCATCGCTCCGCACATTAGAATCATCATTAGCCACCTCTTCATCCTCATCATCGCTCCACACATAGGAATCGTCATCACACATTGGATGTTGAATGATGCGATTGATATTGGTGACCATAGGTACCCCATTGCCATCAAAGCCAACTCGGAGGGAAATGAGGTCCTCAACCTGAATAATTCCATAGACTATGTCTCCAAGGAATGCAATGTCGATGATGCAAGTGAAGGTAGTACTATATGGCTGAGGAAACCAAAAACGTTTTCTCGCATGGATAAAGATGGTTGGGTAGTTCGCATTGTTGGTCATGAAGACGACAAGGTCATCCGAAGTCGACCGTACGAGCACCTTGTGGATCTCAAACCACTCTGGGACATGACCGATAGATGAGGGCATCAAGCATGGTCGTTCTGAAGAAAGGGTTGTGCAAGAGATAGGTGGGTCTCTTCTCGGCATCGGTGCACTTGACGGTGAGCCAGCCATCCTTGAGCCGATGCAGATCACATTTGTTGGGATGGAGGGGATGCGGTGCCCACCGCGGTCGGAAGATGTAGTAAGAATAATTTTTTTGTGTGTGATGGAAAAAGAGCTGTGTTAATCAAGCAGCAGGCAAGTCCGCCTTACAAATATTCAGCACATCACCAGGTCCAGATCTAAGCCAAATGGTTGTACGCCTCTCCCTTCCACCAAAGTTGGCCGTGTAATGGCTTCCATTATTTTGCTCCCATCTAATGTGCTTGATTAAAAACCCCGGTCCAGGACGAAGACTAGCCTAGATTTCTTCAATCAGAATAGCACACGCTGATCTATCTACGTCCGCACCTTGAATGAGCTTAGCTGTGTGGCCTCCAGGCAGTCCAACTCAACAACAATTAATCGGCAGCGTTTGTCCATTGGAGAGCAAGATGGATCCCTTCTCTACATGCTTCAAGTTCCGCCTGCAGCGGCGATGTACAGAACCGCAATTCCATAAATTGATGATAATTATGATCTCCCCCTCCGGAGTACTGCAGAACCATTCCGGCACTTTTACCCTCTCCCCTATTTCCTCTTGTCTTAACAAGTAAACTTGAAACTCACCATGAAGCAACACGTTGCATTGAAAAGTATGTCAAAACCTACCTATGTGTCTTGCTTGTGTCCCCCCACCCCACAATTGTATACCCATTTCTCAGTTCATTTCATGGGTATTCAGCCGAATACCCATTGTTTCTCCAAAAAAATTATGTACACACGTAGTATATAACCTTTTTTTCTGATAAGAAGTATACAACAAGGTACATGTATGGAAAAAACGAAAATGGCAGGTTATTCAAGCATTCATCCCAAGCCCAATGTAAGGAGTAGCCCACCCTGTTTCTGGCCTAGGAAAAAGAAAACCCAAGATAAGGACTAGCCCACCCACCACCTCCTGTTCCTCAAGCCCAATTAGGGAATCCTCCTTGTTCGCACGAGACCAGTTCGGCGTTTCCACCACTGGCACAATTCGAACCCTAGACACGGTACAGCGGCGCGGCAGCGCCCGCGCGCGCAGGCGAGCGGCGTTGCCTTCCTTTATTATTAAAGAAAGCGTTCTTCGGCGCTCCGTTGGCTTCCTATTTCAGTTTACTGAACAACCAGTAGCATGACTTCATGATTGCTCCTGAGGATTAATTGATGACTAGGGAGATGTGGGCGGCAAGGAAGTTAGACTAGGTTCTAGTTAATCTTAACACTGTTCGCATGCTTGTCTAGATTGCTTACCTAAATCCAGTTTAGTACTACTCTGTTTTTTACATTGCGTTTTGTTCTCTAGCTCTGCAGTGCTAACTTCGCAGAATTATTATTTCCCTAGCATATTTCATTTGCTAAGAACCGACTCTAGTACTCAGTACATGGCTTTAAGTTTATAATCCACACGTAATCATGGCTTTAAGTTTGTACATGTTCGTCATGCTTCTAGTTAATGCTGGAACTAAACACGTTGTTTCTACTGAATAATTTGAATGCGAGTCCACACATAGGATAAGAAAAGAGGGCCTGTGCTGGGGTAAATTGACTCTCTGTCCTGAAGTAGAACTGCATTTCATCATCCTGCCCATGTTGATTGCATCTCAATTATGTACCCTAAATTGTTTGTGAATCGTTAGTTTGCAGGGGCGGCCGGGGACGGGAGGGCCGGGCGCGCGGGCCGGCAGGAGCCGCGGCCGGCTCGCGGTCGGGGGGAGGCTGGTGCGGCATTGG